AGTTCTGGCTTTAAGAATCACGAAGTTTTACACTGGCGTGATTGCACTGCCTGAAAGTGGATCTTAAATCCACACTGGAACATTTTATCTTTTGATTTTTTTTTTTTAAATTGTCTGTACTGTCTCTCAAAATAGAAATGCCCATTCCTATGGATGAATCAAAGTTTTCTTAATGTATATCATAAATAGCAAGGGCCCAAATCTTATTTAAAATAAACTGACTTGCCCAGCTGTTGCATGAAGTCTGCTTACTACAGATTTGCTACAACTTGATTGTTGGAAGGAATGTCTTAGCAGTTTCTTAATATGTATATATATTTTTGATAATATATTTGTTTTTTTTTAAGTAATGGACAAGCTAGGAAAATGTTTTCTTAGTCAGTTATGTTTCCGAAACCTCTGAAAGGAAGACTGTCGTTCCAGTTTCTTAGTTTTTTTTTTTTTTTTGTTTTTTTTTTTTTTTTTAATTTAACGAAAACTCCAAGACTGTTGTGAGGCCTGCTGCACTGGATGACCTCTGACCCCTGACTCTTGATGGGGTGTTCATGCTCTGTGCGTTAGGAACCGATAGGGAACTGAAGCCACACTGGCTCACATCTTCTCTTCCCGTTTTGCCCTGAACAGCGAGTCACCTGGTAGTTTGGGGAGGAAGACCCAAGTTTGATGCGTGTTTTGGGGAGTTAATGTTAATTTACCATTCTAGACTTTTCTCAGGTTACAAAGCTCCCAGTCATGCTAATATTCTCCTGTCACAAAAGGTGATATAGGGCACAAGACATTTCCAATGACTACAGTGACAGATTTAAAAGTGGCAGACTTCTTGTCTTTTGGCATTTTCTTCTCTTCACCCATCTGAACTGACATTTTGCATTTTGGTAGTCACTTTTTAAAAAAAAAATTTTTTTTTTTTAATTTTTATTTTTAAAAGTTTTTTGTGCATCGGTGTTTTGTCGTGAGCGTCAGACCTCCTGGAACTGGAATTAGATAGTTGTGAGCTGCCATGTGGGTGCTGGGAATTGAACCAGGGTCCTCCTGAAGAGCAGTCAGTGCTCCTAACTAACCACTGAGCCGTCTCTCCAGGCCTGGTAGCCACATTTGTTTATCATGAGAGCTAGTAAATACCAACGATCAATGTCTTGTTATGCATTCTCACATACACATACACACACGCAGTGTCCAGTTTGTTATGCACTTACACACACATATACATAGTGTCACATACACATATACGCACGCAGTGTCCAGTTTGTTAAGCATTCTTACACACACATATACATAGTGTCACATACACATATACGCACGCAGTGTCCAGTTTGTTATGCACTTACACACACATATACATAGCGTCACATACACATATACACACGCAGTGTCCAGTTTGTTAAGCATTCTTACACACACATATACATAGCGTCACATACACATATACGCACGCAGTGTCCAGTTTGTTAAGCATTCTTACACACACATATACATAGCGTCACATACACATATACGCACGCAGTGTCCAGTTTGTAGAGACTTCCTGTGATTGGTCGAATAACTGAATGAAAGCCCAGTGGCTTTCTGGACAGAACAGCCAACTATAGAGTCCATACACGCCTTCTGCTTTGTTTCCATTTGTCCTGTTTTATTTATTCTACTAGTACACAGAACTGTCTTTCATGTGACTTCTTTTCTTAACAGTTTTCTGCCACCTTTCCCCTACTTGTAGTTGTTATGGTTTTGTAACAAAAGTATATTACTGTGGGCCAGCAAGATAGCTTAGCAGGTAAGGGGCGTGGCGACAGGACTGATGACCTGAGTTTGAACCCACATGATGGAAGAAGAGGATCAATTCACATTAATTATCTTTAATCGCTGTATGTGTGCTGTGGTATGTGTGCCCAGGCACTTGTGCGTGTGTGTGCGCGCACACACACACACACACACACACACATACACACACAGACACAAACACGCACAGATAAATATAATAAAAGCATTTTAAGTATATCACCCTGATTTGCCTTTATGCTCACACCAAGTCACCGGTGTGCCATGCTTTTTAACTTTACATTCTGCACTTTTGATGCAATTTAAAAATTAGAAAATAAACCATCTGCCCGATCCACCACAGAGGAGATTTCAAACTGCATGGAGTGGCTGCCTGGCCTGTGGGCTGTGCTGGGGCTGCCCTGCTGGCATAGTGGGAAGGTGCCAGGAGTCCCGTGAGATGGCTCCCTCGTTCTGCTGTCAGATTAGAGCAGCAGGCATTCCTGCTTTCTGAAGGAAAAAAACGCCAAACCTTCAAGTCCAAGGCCACACTGATGAGGGTTTGTTCTTTCACCAGAATCTCTCCTTTCCTTCCCTCCCCAACCAACCACGCCTTCTTTTTCTTTCTCTTTCCTTTTTAAGTCACTTAGGGGAAAACAAACAACAACAACAAAAGCCAAGAACAAACTAAAGCAAAGTACTGGGGTTGGAATCAAAGTGCTAGAGGCCTGATACAAAGCCAGAGGGGCAGAGGCTCCAGCTACCTACGTGACTTTTCAGGGAGGGGCCCTTCTTCCTCACTACGTCCCCCTAGTGACATCATCTCCTGGGTAGTGGGCACCCAACTTCTCCACGGAAGGTTCTTCTGGCAGGTCCTGGTACTGAAGGAGTGTGCAAAATACTAGAAAACTGTCTGCTGGGGACCCAGACAAGTGGTTCACAAATGTTTGCAAAAAAAAAAAAAAAATGCATGCAAAGTCTTTGAAGCCCTGAGGATACCTTGCCTTCAGAATCACAATTTTTGCTTATCAGTTACACTGGGGGCGTGGGGACACAGCCTCACAGATTGTCAGCGAATGTATGTTCTGTATCAGAAGCCCCGGTCTCATAGATGACAAGCAAGTTTAGACGCTATAAGCTAACCACACTCGGAAGTGTGTCCTGTGAGCAGTGTTATCAGTGTTCTGGAGACATGGGCATGTGTGAGTGTGAAGTGATAGAGATGGGTGAATGGTACCACGTGACTCGGGGTCCAGACTTTAGATGACAGAGTTGGGAGAGAGTCTGGGTGGGAAGAGGGGGTGTTTGTTCTGAAAGGCATGTGGAAATTATCACATTTCGCATCAGTAAGTGCAGCTTGAACTCAGTTACCTGCGTGGGCTCCGGACGAAGAAAGAAGAGCAAAGCTGGGTTTTGGAGTTATTTCTAATTTGTATTGGCAGAAAGAATGGATGGGTGACAGTCTTTATGCTGTGAGGGCTTTGATGTGTTTCATGTGCTGCAGGACCCCAGGGCAGAGAAACCAGAAGCGAGTTTTATTCCAGCCAGCGGACTCTCCGAATAGGGTCTTTGTAGCACCAGGACTGCTCCCCTCTGGAAGTGAATGGAGTTTACACGTTTCTGTCAAATCCATCCCTCAGAGTTGGAAGCATGAGCGGACTGGACCACTGGGGCCTCACTTACCTTGTCTCTCTCCCCCCTTTTCCTTTTTGGTTTCAGTGGCACGCCCTCTCCCCGGGAAGAACAGGCCAAATACTATGAATTAGCACGGAAAGAAAGGCAGCTACATATGCAGCTTTATCCAGGCTGGTCAGCAAGAGACAATTATGTAAGCCTTTTCTTGATCCCTGTGGCTTTCCACCCCCCCCCCACCCCCACTCCCACCCCCCCACCCACCCCCACCCACCCCCACCCCCTGCCTTGCCCTCACTCTCAAGGGGATGTCTGGAGGATGCGTGGTGTTGGCACTGTTTCGTGTTTTGGAAAATTAACGAACTGTGTAATGAAGATTTCATAAGTACGTTGGGGTCTAAAAACTTTAAGCATTTATTTTGTTGCTGTGAGTACTAATTTATCTGTAAAACAAAGCTCCTTCGAGAATCAAAACAGAGAACCCTTTATCATTAGAATACCAGAAAAAGATGTAAAACAAACAAACAAAAAAATCCCTATAATTTCACCACGTAAAGGCAAGATTAGTGATAGCTATATTCCCTCCTAGTAGGTTTTCTGTGTGTCTTTAGTTTCAAATATAGGTAAAAATACTATTATATATGTACATGTATTTTATGGCATGTTTCCTGTTCTTATATAAAAAATTCACTTTTCTTTTATGAAATCACTTTTATGTCCATATCCTGTTAAGTGAGTGTCTCAATTTCCTGGGTTTTCCTGATTTTATGTGATTTTATATTTTTCTGTTTCTTTTCTTTTTACCCTTTCATAGTCATAGGATCCACACTGCTGTGGATATGTCTGTGCATAGTAGGATGTCTTGTTTTGTTTTTTCTCCTGTACACAGGACCATTATTTCCACAGGCTAGATTCACAGTATCAGGGTCTTAAGAAAGAAGTTATAAACATTTTGAAGTTCTTGACACATGTTGTCATATTTCTTTCCAGGTGATGAGTATAAACCTCACATTAATGTACCCTGGCATCTTGTATGTACTTTGAATAAAGATGAAGTAGGGATTATCATGTTCTAGGCTTTTTATTGTATCAATATCTATTTTTTGTATCTATTGTATCAGAATCTATAATTTTATTGTCCTGAGGACCACCTCCCCTGTACTGACAGCTGCCTTGCCGCTGTGCAGCCTGAGCATCTTATTGGCCTTGTCTGGCTATAGTACAGACTGTCACATAGAAAGTGTATTATGAACGATAGATCTGAAATTTTGTCATTTTAAATAAAGTCACAATAGAATGTTTTGAAGATCATTTTTAGTTCAGCTCAGACAGCTGCAGTAGAATACCACAGCCTAGGTGGCTTAAAAGCAAAAGTTTTTTACTCACTGTTCCGGGAGGCTTAGATATTGGAGACCAAGGGGCCAACCCCGAGCACTTGGCTGTGTTCTCACAGGCTGCCCTTTCCCCAAGGACGAGTCCTGTTCATAGTGTCTGTGCCCCCAGTGAGCACCCCCCAAAGGTTCTACTTATCCCATCACGTTCTGGGGTGTCAGGAGGAGTGGGAATTTTAAGGGACACATTAGTCTGTAGCGGGAGACCAGCAGTAGGAATACCATTTGGGACAGCCTTCACACAGAGCAATTGTCCCTTCACGCACACATGTGAATCCCTGTACAGTTTATCGATGGCCTTTGCTGTAGAAGCTCCAGTTGCCATGGAGACAATGACAGCAGTGTGTGCCTGAGGTCACATGTCCCCTATTAGATACTGCAGCGTTTGAACGCATGTGTATCTATCTAGGAATTCTACAGTATGCTCCACGGACAATGCCATTTTACTGCTCAGAATTTGGAGCATGTTTGCCAGATATGACCTTGACACAGGAAATGAGAGTCCTATGGGCACTTTCTTAGGAGCAATGGCACAGCCATGCCCCACGTTGTCGTTTTTGTTGGTTTAGCAACCACCGCACACATTGTAGGCGATGCCTTATGTTCCTCTGGTTACTTTCCGTCCTTACAATTGTCCAGTGGCATCAGCATCATCGGTCCACCTCTCAGGGCTGGTGAGGTCGGCGAGGTTAGGTCATTTGTCCACAGCGGTGGGGTTGGCAGCTTTGAACTGCAATTTAAACCCACATCAGCTGGCCCTGAGGATCGCCATAGCTTCCCTCCTGAGTAGTGATTGGCATCTGTGCCTACAGAGCCTTTGCTGTGCCCTGTAGGGGGGACACTGTGTGTCCCCTTCTCGCCCTGTCTTGCTTGCCCTTTGGCTGTGACTTGCCTGGGAGGGGGCCACTGACCTTTACCCCCTTGACCCCATACAAGAGCTTGGCCGAGCTGGAAGTTTGCACATACCTGCATTGCTTGCTGAATGTCTTGACAATTTTAGTTCTAGTTTTCAAGTGATAGGTTTTAGCATTTTAGAAAAGATGTAACGGACATTAGCATGTGTCCCTCTTCTCTGACTTACCTATTCCTTTGCCCGCCTTCGCACGAAAGGAGGGTAGTTTTGAAGGAAGCTGGTGGACTATGAGTTCATCTTTAAAGATTTTACTCTCCATGACTGACTGTTAAAGAACATTGTCTTCCTGTGCCTTGCCTGAATGAAGGGAAAACCCAGCTTCGTTGATACTATTTTTTTAACCATCCCATCGATGGCTAAGGCAATGCCGGAGTCGTGTGAGAGCACCCTTGCAAACAATATTCCCAGCTGGAGTTTAGCATCAGGAGCAGGATGTAGAGTGAGGATGATTCCTGGGCCTCTGAGATCACTAAACCCACATCTGGGTTGATGGTTAAAATGGCCCACTCAGTGACATCATTGACTTTTTAGAATTGAAGTTTACATCCATAATTTGGGCTAATAAAGGAAGTTTCTGTGAGTCAGCCGTGCATAGAATTTTTCTTGAGTGAGATTATCCTGCCTCCTAGGATGCATACTTTGTAATTTTGACAAAACATTGTTTAATTGTGCATGAATTAATCCACATGTTCAAACGGGCCCCCTCTTTACCCTCCATAAAGTCTGAGAGTTTCTCTCACCTCACTGATTTATCCCTAAACTACCACACAAGCGGTACCAGTAGTGACTCTCAGGAGCTATCCACACTGGCTGGCTGTAAGGTGGAGGAGGATGGAGAGAGGCTCAGAGCCTATGCTGCTGGCAAATAGATGGGCTGTGACCCTGAGCTCAGGGTCATCTGCTCAGCAGAAGAGCCCCAGTCTGTCTAAGGAAGAGGGATGAGGCATGGGACAGAGAAAGTTCTTGAAAGAGATGACACTTGAGACTCATGCAGGTGCGAGCAGGAGAGGAAAGCGCAGAGGTTTAACCGGAAACAGCCTCAGGGGAACATCCAAAACTGCAGAAACTGTTTGAGTGAAGGGAGCATGCTCCCTTCCTCCCCCTGGAACACCTCTGGTCAGATTAAAGATGATGTTCTTTACAATCCGGGCTGCTCGCCTTAGTGTTTAGGAAGAGTGTCAGTCAACTTTGTAAAACTCTGAGGTACGGAAGTACACGGTGGGCGTTCCTTTGTTTATTCAGCTGGAAATACCTGTCACAGGTTAGCCACTTGCAGCTCGTGGAAACGGGCTGTGACTGTAGCCTCTTTAAGTGGGGGTAGTTTTGAAGAGAGATGAACATGCTAAGCTGCTTAAAGCATGACCAGATTGTCACTGAGGTGTGTTTGTCGTGGAGGTGTGTTTTGGAACCTATCTAAACTTGCTCCTGTATCGGCGGAAGTGAAGGTCTCAGCCTGCCAGGTCCCACTTCCTCCTCTCTCCCTCTATCCCAGGCTATGGCATGCTTCTGCCACAGGGATCTGGGCACTCTTCTGACACTGTGGACATAAAACATCGTGTAGTTCATTTCACATCCTTCACAGAATCAACGCGGGCACCACCTGAGACACCACCAGGGCAGTCAGGAGGAGGGGTAGCCCCGGAAGGAAGCAGGAACACAGGACTCCTCACAGGCACGCACGCGCAGACACAGCTGAAAGCCAGTCACTCTGGGTGGCTCGCTGGCCGGCCACCTTCTGGCCGTGCTTTTCCTGCATGCAGTGCACACCTGCATGCCTCCCCTCCACTCCCTGTCTTAACACTGTGCCTCTGTCCTTCCAGGGCAAGAAGAAGAAGAGGAAGAGAGAGAAACTACAGGAATCCACTTCAGGTAGGTACCTCGTAGCTTGCTGTGGGCACTCCTGCTTCTGCGAGACTCCTCGTAAATAGTCCGCATCTTCCTAGACGCTGCCTCGTCCAGTGACTGTCACGTGTGATCCCTTCACTCAGCTCTCTTTCCTGAAACTCCTGAACATTTCAAAAAGACTTTTCTTTTAAATGTGAAGGTTCCTGTAAAAAGCCCCCTTTCCCGTCCCCTTGCCCTAGAGTCATAGTTAGGAGCTGTGGTTGATTTTTTTTTTTTTCTTCTGTTGTCTGCATCCTCTTGGCTTCTGCCTCTGCGTTGTTTGCATAGTCCCTAAAGATGTGACTTTTATGATGACAGTACAACATGCTGCCTTGTATTCCCTCGAGAGTCTTTCTTTGGGTTCTTAATACTGAACACCACAAGCGGCGGGGGCTTGCACTGGCTGCGGGAGTCAGTGAGGTCCCACGCTGGTCCATCTTTCTTCCTATCGGAAGGCCACCACATGCACTGCACAAACAGAAAGGGCTGCCATGAGGACCGTAAGAAGCAAAGCGAACCCGGTCCACATGCTATTGTAGCTACTACTACGTGTTTGGAATGTACAGAAACCTCTCCATAAAAATTTGTTAAAGACACAATTTTCTGCAGGTACAGGTCCCAGAATGACAGCTGCCTACATCTGAAACATGGTAAGATCATCAACTCTCTGGTCCTATTGCTGATCTGGCTCTAACAAGAGGCTTTTGCTTGTGGATCTTCCCGCTCTCACCAGCTCCACTCAGCATTATTCCCCGAGAGAGGAGAAGGCCACCACAATCAGTCTAGCGCTGTTGAAGCTCCCCTGGTTTTTAGCCCAGTGTGCGTGAGCGTTTGCAAAACATTGTGCTTTCATGCTGCCACGCCTTTTTGTCCTGCTTACAGCTCTATTCTCTCGCCCCACCCCCCACCCCCAACCGGTGGAAAAATCTGCCCTTAAAAAAAAAAGAAGAGGCAGCGTGTCACCCTCCTCATCCGACAGGGATGTGTTGGAGGGATGCCACTGTAGCCCCCTCAGTCCTGTTACACGGTAAAGACTCAGTCGAAACGATGTGTGGGCAATCTATTTGCAGCGAGAAAGATTTGTGCACTTAAGTGACTGATTATTTCTTCTGTTGCCTGTTTTTCTATATTGGTAACCGCTGTTAGCCATCCATCGCCCTAGGATTTGTGAGTAAAACTGAATTCGCTTAGTTTTATGTTGTCTTTAATTTCTAGTCACATGACCCAGGAAGCTGGCTTCGCAAATGAAGGCTGGGTCCTGAGTTTGAACGGACAGGGTGTAGCTGCTCTCCACCAAGGGGTTGCCTTTGTTTCTTCGGTGTTCTTTCTCTAGAACCTGCGTAGTCAGTCCCCGGTCCTGTTGGACGCCCTTTGGGTCTGCGTACCACTTTGCCAGCTCTTGTTGCCTGAAGGCCACAGACCTGTCGCCATTCTTGTGCCTGTGCCTCGGGTCATTTGCTGCAAGTTTCTCCTCACTTCCAAACTGCAGAATCTTGAAGCGATATCCCCACAGCCATCTCTCAGTTCTGAGAGGATGGTACCAAGTACACTTAAAAACTAACGAAGCCCAGTGCCCGAGCTGGGAGGGGACAGGGACTCCTCCTCCAGGTCCCCTCTAGTGGACTCAGGGACACTTCCCGGGTCTCTTAAACTCAAAACAATTAACTACACTTTAGTAGGTTTCACACACACACACACACACACACACACACACACACACACACACACACTGACCTTGCTTGGTCATATCCACCCTCCCCAACACACAGCCCTCCCTCCCTCCCATCTCAACCCCCCCCTTCCCGGGTCTCCTCACCTTTCTTGTTTCCTAGCAGTCCCTTCGAATTTTCAGGATCTTTTTCCTTTTTTTTTTTTTTTTTTTTTTTTTTAGCTAGATCTTTGGGTTAGTACACAAAATAATCTTGTTATAGAATTGCCTTTTTAAATTGTTTTATTTTTTATCGTTAAATTAGCTTACAAAGTATCAGGTTTCCACATGGAATTTTAATGTTTCTTTTTGACTGACGTCCCCCCCCCCCATCACTGTTGGGACATTTCCATCGGCATGTGTCAGTACGCTTTGTTCTGATTTGCTGCCTTCCCCCACGCCGCTCCCTCCCATAGCTCCTCTCCTCCCCAGATAGTTTTCACTCTCTGCTTTCATGCTATTTAAGACTTCTGGCTTCTACCTTGAGAGAAAACACATTGTTGTATGTAGGTCTAGATTATTTCCTCTAGCTCAATCACCCCTGGCTTATTCCATTTTCCTAATGACTTACTCTATTTTCAGCTGGCTGGGTTTCATTCCTCTTTATAGCTAAATAGTACTCCACAGTGTCTGTATGTCTACCACGTTTCTTTATCTAATTAATTTGTTGCCTAACCTCTGGGCTGTTGTGAACAGCCCCCTCTGGAATCATGGGTGTGTGGGCATCTCTGTTGTATGCTGACTTGACTTTGGGTGTATACCCAGGAGCCTGATTATACTGTTGGTCTACTTTTAGTGTTTTTGGGAAACCACCATACATTGATTCCCATGTAGTTATACTGACTTACATGCAAGAGTTCCTTTCCTACATGGATGTATTATGACTAGTGCGTATTTGCCAGTGTAGTTATAATTTGCATTTCTCTGATAGCTACAGATGCTGAACATTTTCTCAAAAGTATCTGTTTGGATAATTTATTCATATATCGATTGCATTACGTGTTTGTTATTTTTTGAAGTTTTTGTTTGCTTCAAGTCACTTAAAATTTGTAACTGTGCTGGGTGATGGCGGCAGATGCCTTTAGTCCAGTACTCTGTATGCAGAGGCAGGTGGACCTCTGCATTTGAGGCCAGCCTGGTCTACAAAGATACACAGAGAAATCCTGACCCATAAAATGAAAGTGATAGTTTAACTGTGAGCAGGGTTGTGCACATGAGTGCAGTGCCCGTGGACACCAGCAGAGGGCTCTGAACCCCCTTGAACCAGTTAAGGGCAGCTATGAGCCCAACGTGGGTGCTGCTGGGAGCCGAACTCACATTCTCTAGGTGTGTGTATACTCTTAGGCAACTGCTCCCAAAGATTTTCTTTGTTTTTAATATATTGTGGATGTTAGCTCCTGTCAGGATTGTTGTTGAAAACTCCTTAGCCAAAGCCTGTTTGATCCAATGAAATATCTTATGGAGTTCTTTTCTTCCTATTGGAGTCCAGTTCCCGAAATCAATGCTTGCACCAATATCCCTTAGTAGTTTTAGAGTTTCAGCTCTTACATTAAGATTTTCGATCCATGTAGAGTAAGACACGATGGTCTAGTTTCAGCCTCCTCAAGGTGGGCACTCAGTGTCCCCTCCCACCTCTCCAAGTAGTTGTGGTTTCTTCAGTATATACTTATGGAATCAGTTGTCTGTAGATTGATGCGTTGTTTCTGTCCTCCCTTCCATTTTATCGGTCCATGCTGTCACTAATGTTATGTCGTTAAAGAAACTCCTAGTAAATGAGAAAGATCTTTTGAGCTCACACCCCTGAACATGCAATGCAGCTCAAACGCTAAAAAGCTCTCCAGATACTTGTGTTCTCACCCCTCAGAATGCATGAGTTATATTTAATGGTTCTACGTTTGGGGGTGGCTATCCCATGTGAGCATCTTGAAGCCCCATGTAGAAATTGAGGATGATGATGGTATGAACTCAAGGCGGTACATTTGAAAATTCCACATGCACATTCACTCTGGGTTATGGCTGACCTGCTGTCAGGAGCAGAGCACACTTTGGTCTGCTGGAAATAGGATCGGTAAGAGCCATTCCTGTGAGCGCTTTTTGAACAGCCAAATACATCCTTCCCAGTTTTGTGGAAAAGCTGAGAGCCCAGGGCCTTGGGAGATGAGCTATGTCTGCTGGAAGGCCAGACTAGTGGTTTATTCACCGCAAACCCCCAGTGAGGATGACTCCTGCAGGGTAAGCGCTACCTTGGGGAGGGGCTACTTGCTAAATGGGATCCTTTCCTTTCCCAGAGGAGTTTCCAGCTTGAGGGGCTGTAGGCATAAGAAGAGTAACTATGAAATAGTATGATACGAGCCGTGAGTTCCATACAGCGCGTTAGTTATATTAACGAGTATGTAAAACAGGTAAATCTGAATAGGAAAGGGGCAGTGCCCTGGATGGCTGACATTTGGGCTGTATGTTGGCTACGGAGTTCCTAGATTCCAGAGCATGGTGATGATGATGCCAGGATCTTGTAGGGCTTCGTTGTGGGTTTGATTTGGAACCTATAACACCTCAGCAGCTTGTAAGGGGCCAGAGGTCATTATCAAGGCCTCAACTTTTCTTTCTTCCTGACTTTAGTGAAGAAGCAGAAGAGAGTAAGCAAAGAACTGGAAGTTTTGAAACATCAGGAAAATTGATCACTTGCATTTATTAACTAAAAACCAACTCTAAAAACAAGTTCATTAATATTGACGGTAGTACAGCAAACCCAAAGCCAAAATTGTACAGAGATATGGTTTCAGTGTAGTGCCTCTGATTACATGGTATCCACAACCTAATTTAAAAGGAGAAGCAGGGTTCTTTAAAAAGGCGGAGAACTCCTCTGGCTAAAGGCACAGAACTTCTCCTGGAGACAGAGATGCACGCACACACAACCCCCCTCACACCCACCCTACCCACCCCATCCCCACTTTGGCTCTGGCACAATCTTTATCTCAGAGGCTTGCTAACTAAATGAAGAAGCGTGTTTATCACTAAGTAGAACCTTCAGCCTCCCCTGCCCTGGGGCCAGGAGCTGTGTGGGAGAGGTAATTGCAAGTGCTGTACAGGCTGCAGGAGTTAATTGTGCAGGGCTTGGATTTATGTTGAAAAAAAAAATTGTTTCTGGCTTCTGTTTGATGCTGGCATTTGAAAGGCTCAAGGCTCCTGGGTCCTGTGACTCCTCCCAGAGGACCTCCCAGATGCAGAGCAAGGACTGAGATGCAAGGCCTGCAAGAAGGCAGAGAACCCCAGGGTCGGGGAGCCTGACCTGCCACCCCAGCTTCAGCCCTGTCCTCTGAGAGTTGGGGAGTGGTCAGACATCCTCCGTGGTTTTCAAACATGTTTATTTCCGATAGAATTTGAAGCTTACCCTGGCACGTTTGAGCCGTTTCCCTAATTCTACCCTGAAAGTGTACATGAACCAATGTCATTACATGTCCTAGCCTCTAGGTGTCTGCCTCTGGGTTGGCATTAAGTTAAAACCAAACTTTTTGTTGTTTTGTTTTGTTTATTTTTTTAAGATTTATACTGAATATTGTATACAGTATTCAGCCTCTATGCATGTTTGGATACCAGAAGAGGGCACCGGATCTCATTATAGGTGGTTGTGAGCCACCATGTGGTTGCTGGGAATTGAACTGGGGACCTCTGGAAGAGTAGTCTGTGCTCTTAACCTCTGAGGCATCTCTCCAGCCCACCAGGCTTTTTTTTTTTTTTTTTTTTTTTTTTTTTTGTGAAATAAAGAGAAATTGGAGGCAGTTGGAGAAATCTTAACATTTGTCCATAGTCACACAGTAAAAATGAAGGCACCTGCCTGGACCTAGAAAGAGAAAATGTCACTCACCTACTGTCCCCTTCTTCATCTTGTAGCACATAGGAAGGAAGCACCCCAGTGGGAATTGTTACACGCAGAAGGTAGTT